AGGCCCTGTCACCTCTGCGCTTAAGACGAGTTCCTGGAACTGTGAGGAGCAACTGGTCTGCTGACCTCAGGGAGCGTGGTGGGACATACGGTTGTAGCAGATCAGAGAGATGGGGGGGTGGGTGCGAAACTGTTCAGTGATTTGTCGACATACAGGAGTACAATACAGATTCTTTCTGCTAGCACAAGTTTCTGCCCACATTAAACATGCATAATGTCATTTTTCTCTTTATAATTAAAATGAATGTATACCATAAACAATGTTTTTAAATATTAGTTGATGTCTAGGAGTTAACTGTGGACTTACAACCCTGGGCATGTTGTCCCCTTTTTGCACACTGAAACAAAGTGTTAATTTTCCCCTCTGTTTTCAGGTTTGGGGCACTTTTCCACAAAGTCGCTTGTTGAAGCGAATGCAGAGCAGGCGGTGGAGGTGAGGACTCAGGTGCAGCAGCCGGCTGATGAGAACTGGAACGCCAGTGGTACCGGTCAGACGTGGCCCTGCGAAAGCAGCCGCTCGTACACCACCATTGCCAAGTACGCCCAATATCAGGCCTCCAGCTTCCAGGAGAGTCTGCAGGTACAGAGCCTTAGTTTTAGCATTTAAAGTGCCAGAACCTCAACGTTTCTACATCCTGATGAACATGTCTGTCTCCAGGAGGAGAAAGGTAGCGATGACGAGGATGAGGATGAAAAGAAGCCACTCATCAACGCTGATACTAACAAGGACGGCTCTAAAGAAAGTACCAAGTAAGCACACTATTAAAAGCACAAGGTTTTAGGTATTTGAGCGTTCTAAAATATGTTCTAAAGCTTTGTTTGTTTCTTAGTGGTGAGCAGAAAAGTGTTGGGAAGATCATCAAATTTGGCACCAACATCGACCTCTCCGACCCCAAGAGGTAAGCGGCTTCAACACGCAGGTGAGAGACGTAGCCTCCAAGCAAAGCTCGGAGCTGAGTTCATTCACGTCGTCTCTGCTCAGGTGGAAACCCCAACTCCAGGAGCTGCAGAAGCTCCCAGCTTTTATGCGTGTATCGTCCAGTGGAAACATGTTGAGCCATGTTGGACACACGATCCTGGGCATGAACAGTGTTCAGCTCTACATGAAGGTCCCAGGGAGCAGAACACCAGGTAAAAACACAGAAACAGTCGAAACGAGTTGCTCTCCTAAAGTCTACTACGTCTACAAAAGTCCTTTTTTTTTATTTAACAGGTCACCAGGAAAATAATAACTTTTGCTCAGTAAACATCAACATTGGCCCTGGAGATTGTGAGTGGTTCTGTGTGCATGAGAACTACTGGGGGGCGATCAGTGACTTCTGTGAAAAGTGAGTGGAGGAAAATTTGAGGTATTTGCAACAATATTAAGTTAAAACATCTAATATATATATTTTTTTTGTCCTCAGGCATGGTGTGGACTACTTGACAGGGTCCTGGTGGCCTGTGTTGGAGGATCTGTACAGCGCCAACATCCCAGTGTATCGCTTCATTCAGCGGCCAGGAGATCTGGTGTGGATCAACGCTGGTACCGTTCACTGGGTCCAGGCTGTGGGATGGTGCAACAACATCGCCTGGAATGTTGGGCCTCTCAATGGTAAGAGTGTCCCATCTAGTGGCCAATTACAGAATCAAAATCATCAAAAACTAGAGATTTTATTTCCTGAGAAAATACAGTGTGAATGCTTATTGCTGAAGAAAAACAGCTGAATTTTAGCTGAAATGGAAGAACAAGCCTAAATTAGCAGAAGGCAGAAAGAACAAATTTTTGCTGAAATAAGTTTAAATAAGCAGAAATGAGCACAAAAATTGGAAAAGTAGCTGAAAGGCAGAAAGAGCTTAAATGAGCTAAAAAAAAAATTAACAGAAAGCAGATAAATAGTAGTGTAATTAAGCTGAAAGGAGCTAAAACAAATGTTAAAATGGTAGCTGAATAGGTAGAACAAGTTTAAATTGGCAGAAGAAAGGAGAAAGAACATTTGCCAAATTAGGCTGAAAGAGGCAGAAATGAGCAAGAAACAGCTGAAAAGAAGCTTAAATTACCAGAAGCTAGTGGATAGAGCACATTTTTTGCCGAATTAGGCTAAAAAAAGGTTGAAATTAGCGCAAAAATGTGGAATTAGCTGAAAAGGTTTAAATTAGCGTTAAAAACAGCTAAATAGTAGCAAAAGTGGAAACTTGCAGAAAGAAGCTGAAGCAGGACAAAATGTAAACAGATCTAAAGGTTTGAAGGATGTAAAATGAGCTCAATTAATTTCCCATGTGGGAAAAAATGACAGAAAAGGCTAAATATTTAAAAAAAAAAAAAAAAAAAAAGCTAAAGTTGCACCAATACCAAAAGTCATATCAGGATTTTCCTGAAAGAGCTGAACGTTTTGATTCACGATTTGTTGAAATGGCACAAAAACTGCGGGACGAGAATCGCGCCGAAAAACGGATCGCAATATCGTGGATGCTTCAAACGTTCACAGAAATATTTACTTCATCCTCCAAATGTGCGTCTGCAGGTTATCAGTATCAGCTGGCCCTGGAGAGGTTTGAGTGGAACGAAGTAAAGAAAGTAAAGTCCATCGTTCCGATGATCCACGTGTCTTGGAATGTGGCCCGCACTCTCAAGATCACTGACCCAGACACCTACAAAATGATCAAGTAAGTCCGCTTATCAATAAATCTGACCTTGAGTTATTCAAACGATTAAAACTGAACAGCTGCAATGCATTTTTTTTTTACAAGACGAGACATTTTGAAGCATTTGTTTTTCCCTTCTTGCCAGACACTGCCTGCTGCAGTCTATGAAGCACATCCAGATCCTGCGAGACCAACTGGTGGCTGAAGGCAAAAAGATCTCCTATCAGAGTCGGGTCAAAGATGAGCCTGCTTACTACTGCAACGAGTGCGACGTGAGTCAGCTCCCACCTCCTCCAACTGGATTACTTTAACAGACAGTTGTAAAACAACTCAACATGCCGGGGAACTGGGGTAATGTCTGTACAATACTGCAAGTTGGCGCTTACTCCACCTTTAGGCAAGACTAGTGCGTTGGGAAAAGTTTTAATAGCACCATCCGGTGTTCAGTTTTATGAAACGAGCATCGTTTGCTAAAATACTGGATTACGCTGTGGTCTACATTCAGAAAACCACATCCAACTGGTTCTTACGCCTTGTTATGGAACCAGTTTTAAAACCAGAACTGCTTCATAAACACAAAGTCGGAGGCTTTTCAACCAGAGACTCAAAATGACGGCGAAGCCAAGTAAATGGTTGTACTCGCTACGCTTCCTCATCAAATTGTAGCCTGTGGATTACAGTAGTCCCTCGATTATCGCAGAGGTTACGTGAAAAACCGCAAAGTGGGAACTGTTTATTTTAGTATTTATATTTAAGGCTTTATAAAACTTTCCCCACAGTCTTGCAATGTTCTAAACTCTTCTCATTTTAACAGTACATGTACTGCACACTACAAAATATTACTCACCAGCTCTGCAGAACAGCAGCTCTGCTCCAGTTGATGTGCACGTGGATAATTAAGCTTCAGGATTATTTGCAACTTTCCCTTCATTTCAGCAGAAAGCAGTGTCCGGAAGCACTGTGGGCTTCTGGGTATTGTAGTTCTTTTGACTGGCCTTACGGTGTAGGTTTATTGAAAGAAAACTACAAAATGGCAGTGCATGTCCGAAGTAAAAAATTTTTCAATAACTTTTTATCCCGTACCGTCCCAATTACGTGAGTAATATTAAAGTCGACAATCGTAGAAAACCGGCGAGTCTGTGAAAGTCAAAGCACGAAGTAGCGAGGGACTATAGTTGACCGAGCGAAGCCTCTCACTGTGACTGGTGACTTTTTGGTAGCAGTCCGGCTTAATAATGAGGTCTTGTTTTGCGTCCACAGCTTCTAAAACTGGTCTCGTACAGGTTTTGAGACCCAAACATGTAAAGCTGCAGCTCCAAAATAAACTACTGTATTTCCCGCCCTATAAGTCGCATCTGTTATGCGTCACCGCTGAGAACCCGGAAATGTGGGCCGGTGTTGTGCCAAAAATGGATTGGCTGCCAAATGGCGGCCGCAGGAGGACTTTAACAAGATTAACACTTAAAAACAATTGTCTCTCAGTTTAACTTTTTTAATAAATGCACTTTGACGGTCAAATCAGCTGCATTTCAAAAGCCGATACGTGGAAGCATGAACGCGCAGAGGGCGACTCGCTATCTATTTCTTCGAAATTTAACAAGATAACCAACTAAAAACATTTTTGTTTGCTGGACATTATAGCAAAGGTGTGTCTCAGTTGAACTTTTCCTTAATAAATGCACTTAAAGGGTCAAATCAGCTTGATTTCGCAGGGGCATCGAAATGAAGCTGATTGTGTCATTAATAACCTCTTTTACCTATTACATGATACAACGGCATGCCATACTTCTCGACAGCTATCTAGTGGCTGAAAATGTTAGTGTTCGATGTTTTCAGTCAGAATGAATAAAAACGGTCCCATCCCAGCCAAAAATTGGTTTATACATATGGGGAAAAAAATCTGCGACACTGATTTAAGGATTAACCGAACTGTCCTCCCTCCTGTTCCAGCTGGAAGTGTTCAACTTGCTGTTTGTGACGTGCGAGAACAGCAGCAGGAAGACGTACGTGGTCCACTGCGAGGACTGCGCCCGACGGCGCAGCCCCAACCTGACCAACGTCGTGGTGCTGGAGCAGTACCGCATAGAGGAGCTGATGAACGCGTACGACTCCTTCAGCCTGGTGAGCAAACCTCCACCTGCCCCCGTCTGACATGCTCTTACCTCCCCGTCATTAAACGAACGTACGTCTCGTCTTCAGGCTTCCTCCTCTCGGTGACAGAGCGTCTCCTCAGCCATAACCAAAACTCCTGCATGCCGGGGAGAAGGAAAAAAGTTTGACTCAACATTTTCTTCATCTACCATCATTTTTTTTGCTACTGCTCCGACTTGTTGAAAATCCAGCTGAACATGTTTACTCTTTGTTACTGTTTACAAGAAAAGCAACACCAAGCCGCCAATAAAAATACCAGTTTACTCTCAGATGGTGCTTTCAAGCAGAACCCCTGGAAACGGGTCAGCTGGTGCTGCCATTGAACAAACTGTGGAGAATTGATGGCGTCTTCTTTTTTGTCTTGAATACTGAAACGTATACATGCTGTTTGAAAGTTTTCGTGAGGTGCTGTTATTTTCCTTTTTTTACATAATTTATTGTTTTTGTTTTCTAAACTAGATCAGCCTAGATATATACCACATTGGCCTTGTATTTAGAAAAGAGAAAAAGAAAAATACTAATAATAGAGATATGAACATTTTTCTAAAGCATTAAGTATTTTAAAAAAATACACTTGTTTGGAATGCGTCAAAAGATACGGGTTTTAGCAGCTTTTTTTGGGGGAGGGGGGGTTCAGTTGTTTTGTTTTTATGAACAAGTTTAAAGAATTGTCATCTGGTGTGTGTTTTTGTTCAAATATGCAGATTTTTCTGGATTTCTTTGTTTTTTTCTGGCCATTGTACATTTAATTTAAAATGTTCCTTCTATTTATTGGATATTGATGTTCTCCCTTCTTCGCAGGGCTGTATGATTTGTTTTTGTTTGTTTTGTAAGAACTGAAATGTGGAGGTTGTTTATGGGCGGGGAGTGGAAGGTGCTGTCATCCTGGTGCTCGACCACTGCCTTTTCTCTCCTGATATATACTAAATTAAATCTTTATCTTCGATATAACACCACCTTTCCTGTAGATGTAGGACACACGTAGAAAAGATGACTAATGAAATGCTGTGTTTGTATCCTCATTATGAAAGACAAAAAAACTAATTTTCCAAAGTGTTTTGAGAAATTGTACATTTTTTTTACTACGTAGGGGGCTTTTAGATGAGATTTTTATGATATTTGTTGAATACAATAATGGGATAGATGGTGCTAAATATTCTTTTTTTTTCTGTTCGTCCTCTTAAAATGAGATTTCTATTTTTCCTGTTGCAATATTACCTTTACACTTTTCCTTCTCTTTGTGGTCATTTATTTATAACTGCACTGTTTAGAGAATTTACAGACATCCCTGCAGACACACACACACACCAAACTGAGCCAGACATGTCTTAAAACACTTGTGAATTTGTGTGACTATTAATAAAATAAACACTTGATTAAATCTAAATGAACGAGAATGTCTTGGTGTTAAAAAAAGACTAATTACAAATTTAAAAAAAGGTCTTCACGTCAGAACAACTATGAACCTGACTCAAAAACAAATGAAGACTTTTCGAGTTGTACTTGCTGATCCTTGGTCAGCCTCTTGGACATCAAGAACAAGACGATCCAGATCCATTTGATTCACACTGTCAGTATCTGGGGTAAAAAATAAAATAAAATCCACTTCAAAGACTACAAGAAATAAGCTTACAGTTCATAATGCAACCTATACGTTTATGTTGTCAGGTCAAGCAGACGTGATGTACTCCTCACATGATTTAAAAGTGGCTGTGTTCTAAGTGCTTTAAAATAAATTAGATAAAATTGCACCCATATTTAAAATGGTACAAGATAAAATCAAACAACATCAGACATGATCAAATAGTAATGTTAAAACTATGCTAGCATGTCCAACATTTTTCAGTCAGGTCATCTGGACAGTTTCTTTTTTTGTGCTGAAACGTTTCGCCTTCAATCCAGAAGGCTTCATCAGTCAAGGAAACGCAACAAAACTGATTCTTCCCCCAACAGCTTACTCCAAAGTGGAACAAACCAGTTCTGCTTGTGATAAGATGGTCTCTTTGGTACGCCGCCTCCTCCATTGCCGGCCCTCTTCCTTGTTGACAGTCTTGTCAAACTGGTTGAAAACAACAAAGTCCATGCTCAATAATCCAGGTATACAATCCAACATTTTTCAGTCAGGTCATCTGGATCTGGAGATCTGGAGACCATCTTATCACAAGCAAAACTGGTTTGTTCTACTTTGGAGTAAGCTGTTGGAGGAAGAATCAGTTTTGTGTTGTGTGTTTCCTTGACTGATCTTCTGGATCGAAGGCAAAACGTTTCAGCACAAAAAAAGAAACTGTCCAGATGACCTGACTGAAAAATGTTGGATTGTATACCTGGATTATTGAGCATGGACTTTATTGTTATGCTAGCATGTGTTTATGAGACTAATGGCAACAGCATCAAGGCTGGTTTTGATACGCTTAGTTTTATCTTTGGGGCACAAAGGATCTGCGTCCTGATGGAAGGGGCCATACATCGAAGTGCAGCTGGTGCGACATCTTTCAAAACATTCATTCAACCTTTATTTATACAGGTTAGTCTCACTGAGTCATGAGAACTCGTTTACAAGAGAGACCTGTTTTTAACAAATAACACAGATGAGGTACAGACAACAATAGACAGTCGTATAAAAGCATATAAAATTAAAAGTAAATAAAAGAAATGTTGTAAAAATGAAAAACGGCTACATTATTATAAATCAATATAATACTAAAAATAGGAACATGTCTGCATTGGTTTTTGCCATGAACTTAGCAGTTGTTTAAAGCCACTTAGAGAGGTCAAGGTCGAGAACTTCAGATCTTTTTGTAAGGTGTTACAGGAGCGGATACCGTGCATTCTCTGGGCGCAGGAGCCGTGCGCCCAGAATGGTCCTATATCTTGTTATGAAGACGAGCTAACTGTGCATGTTTAACTTTTAACGAGAATCTATGGGCAAAGATTTTTGTGCCCCAGGGTGGAAATACGTCATCAATCAGAGAACGTTTTCGAAAGAAACATCTTTACTCATCATTAACTATAAAATATTTATTACACAACTAAAAATATATATACATGTATTTCAAAATTTTATTATTTAATTTTTACTTAATTTTTTAATATCCAAGTAATGTGATGAGTGGTAAGGCCGCACCCTCTATTGGCTAGCCGCCACTGAAGAGAAGGCCCTTTTGCCAAATTCTGTCTGCACTAAGGGGACGCTGCAGGTAATGAGGTCTTGCGAGCGCACGCTGTAGCTGCACTGATGACATGACATATAGGAGGAGCTACATGAAGGCAACAGACCAAGAAGTGATTTAAAGATGAAAATGTACCAGTGAGAGAATCTACATGAAGTTATTGATGACCAGTTAACCAGTGTATACAGGGTGCTATAGTGGGTACAGTAGTTACAACCAGTTATGAATCTTAGCGCACCATGACAGGTCGCGTCCAACATCTGCAAGGTGCTTGTAGGAACATTCATGTAAATAATGTCACCGTAGTCAGTGGAGGGAAGGAAAGTAGCAGCTACAAGATATTTCCTAGCGTTCAGAGGATCTATTTCTAAAAATGAAAAACCCAAGTTTAATTTCAAATTCTTTACCAAGTTTTTGACATGGGGCTTAAAAGAGAGATGCGAGTCGACCAAGATTCCCAAATATTTGTAAGAATCGACAAACTCAATAGGAACACCATTCGTAGAGAAGAGAAGGAAGGACTGCTGGACTTCCTGTTAGAAAACATCCCTTTGGTTTTATCAGCATTTAGCACCAGTTTGAGATGGAACAAATCTGACCGGATGATGTCCAATGCAGACACCACAGAAAACAGATGCACGTATCCTCAGTACATGCCTGGAGTACAAGTTGCGTTTCCGTCAGCTTACTAGACCACTATTTAGTTCTGGCAGTTCTTGTTTTAGTTCAGTTAGTTCAGGGTCCAGTAGCTCTAGCTCAGCTGTTTCCGAGGGTTTGGAGTAAACACGTGCTTCGTATAAACAAATACATCACATGAATTCTTTATCTACAATCAATACATAAAGCAGACAATCTCCCCATAGACTTTTAAAAAGCTTTAAAAAAATCTAAATGCTCGTATCTTCATTATTAGAAAACCTTCCCAATAAATGTGCGACACTGAAACACGTTTTCTCATTACAGTTTTCATCTGAACGCAAACCGGCAATGTTAATTCAGCTCAATGTCATTTCATGTGGGGAGGGGCAAAAAAAAAAAATAAGGCCAAAGATATTTCTATAAGTAAACTAAGGAAGGAGATTGTACAAGCTGCAAAACTTCCTTGATAGCGGAGCAGGAAAGAGAGCGGGAGCAGAAACAAACTGTCAGAGCAGAGTTTCCTCGCTGATAATTCGAACGGGACTCGGATTTCTGAGCCTCGCACGATAAAAACACAAAACAGAAGTTTGTTTTCCTTTCCATGTTTCTACCAGGACTTGAGGTGCCAAAATAAAACCCTTCTACGTACTGAACTGCACAAGCGATGATTGCTGCATTTTATGATAAATTAGAAAAGTGTCAAAGAAAAAACATGAGCCCAGTATCACAGAACAAGTGTCTCCCTAAACTGATGCATCTCAGCTGCCGCCCGTCAGAGTCTGAGCGAATGTGAAACTGTGAGATGTTTCACTGACGGCCTGTGTTGGCAATAACTCTCAGCTACTACCACATCCAGTTAGCTGTTTCTCAGCTGGTGGCCATCTTGAATTTGGCCAACTTAAAAGGGTAATCAGTTATAGACGCATATTCAATGATTACCATATTTTTTGGACTATAAGGCGCAACATCAGTGAACGGGTCTGTTTTCATAGATAAGGCGCGCCGGACTATAAGGTGCATTAAGCGAAACAAAACCACCACTGAAACACTTCCTGTGTTTTTTTGAGCACCGTGTACCACATAAAATCGGTTCGAGGTCATTTAGCACAACCAGAATAAATAGAAAAGATGCACCGGATTATAAGGCTCACTGTTGATTTTTGAGAAAATTAAAGGATTTTAAATGCGCCTTATAGTCCAAAAAATATGGTAGTCCCTCGTTACTTCGCGGCTCGACTTTCGTGGACTCACGCTTTCGTGGTTTTTGAAACTAAGAGTGGACATGACACACCACTCGCTGGCTGATTGATGGATGAGCCACATGAGCGGCATGGATTGTTTATTTAAAATCAATTGTTTAAAATGATTTAGCACCTGCTGAGCCTTCGTGCAGCCCACAGGTGCAGGGAGAAGCTCCCTCCTGCAGCCTGTCGTGATCTCCGCTCTCTGCCACGCACACATTTCTGCTCCGTGCTGCATCTGCTGCGTGAAGGGTTAACCCTTTGACGTCCTGCTGCGCTTCTCTGTGCAATTTAAATTTAAATATTGTAATGTTTTAAATAAACAGTCCATGCTGCATGGATTGTTTATTTAAAATATTACAATATTTAAATTGTTTATTTGCACAGAAGCAGGAAGATTGGGAGTGAAACTAGGGATACACGATAGTGGATTTTTGGCCGATATCCGATATGTTAAAACTTATTCGGCCGATATTTTATATATGTTCCTTTGTCAGAACATATTCCTCTTATTTAGGCTTATTTGCTACAAAAAATTGTGCAACAGCTGTAAGAGCTGGTGACATAT